GATGATGATGCTGGAGAGATTGTGGAGGTTCAAAAACTAGTGTGAATAGCTGTGAAATACACAAAGGTATACAGAGGAATTCAAAATCTGTGGAATTAAACGCTCCATCAAGTTTGTTTCAAACAAAAATCAAGTCAAGTCTGATTTAAAAATAAACAAATTTCTTTCTCACTCTTTCTGTTTCAGCTTCATCAATACTGAAGGTTATAGTGGTGTGCTGTCAATGCTTAGTATTCCTATTTCCAGCCTTGGAGCCCCCACTTAGTGCTCCTCACTGATACTTCTTACAGCCCTCCAAAAATAACTGAAGTCTCCCGAAAAAGCTGCAAAAGTTCAGTGGGAAAAATGTATCTGACGTAAATGTGGAAACTCTGGTCCTGAACCCAAGCAGCTCAAATCAAAACAAATCCATTCCTGAACTAAAGCAAAACTTTCCACACAGCGGTAAACAGTTAATCAAGAAAAACACCTTGATCATTTGTGCATCAGGATGAAAAATGCACAACGCGACATTGCTTCAAAAAGCTTTGAGATGCCACATTTGTATCAGTGTGTTCAGACGGAAAGGAATAAGAACATGAAGGTATGTTTCTTCATTACTGAAATGTTAATTTGACTTGTTTTTGACTAATTAATGCCAGTGTCTTCCAAGAACAAAACAGCTCCACCAATATTAATTAGGACCTCAATATTCATGTTGGCGGAGATAGATGTGAGGTCTGTAATTAACGAGATTTTAATCATTTGATCGTCTCTTTAATTAAAGGCTTGCCACAATTTGAAGGTTTGTTTACTTCTTGCAGAATAAGAAAGCCCGTTGCTATTCTCTTTTGCCCAGAATTCACCCTGAGAAAACAATAAAGAAATAAAAATCAGGCTTTTAAAAGTTTCCACCAACATTTCTGAGAGGTACTGCTGCACTTTTGCCGTCATTTGAAGAAACAAATCTCCGAGCTCCTTTTGATGGCGACTTCGCTCTGAGATCACGGTGTTCGCGTGGCTGTCTTCCATCTGCCGATCCAATGCTTCCACCTTTGTGAAATCTTCTTTGTGAAACTTCAGACTGTGGTTTGATGAAAGCTTTGAAGAGCTAAAAGAGAGGACTATACATGCACATGTATTTACTCTAACCCAACTTGTTCCTGCTCATTGACTGAAAGACACTCCATCTAAAACTAAGAATAAACATTCCTATTAGAGAAGGTTATTAGCAGGTTGTCATTTTATAGGGCTCAAAGTATTTTAGAGGGATGAAATTAATGCAGTTCGGATTTTTTTTAGAGACAAATATCTTTGCCCTTTGAAAGACAACCCACTTTAGACCTCCAGATCATTTCTAAGTGTTTTTCTTTTCTTTTCTTTTCTTTTCTTTTCTTTTCGTGCCATAGAAAGCAGTGAGACAAAGCATTTTATCAGTCAACAAAAACACAAATATTCTCTGGTCAGTTAGAGGGATTTCTCCAAATTAGCAACAGGTAAAAATCAGTTATTTTTATATTTTATTTATTCTATTCTTATATTATTTATAAGAATATGTTTTTGTCTCTCGCAACCTGGACTTTCTCCTCTCTTTGTTCATTGCATCTGTTTCCTTTGCCTCCGATCAGACAAACATCAGTCCAGCAGATCCAATAATAAATAAATCAATGGTTGCAACCTGCAAGCTTTAAACAGAGTGCCATTTTGTTTTGAGAAATCTGAATTTTGACAATGAAACACAAAAAGATCAAATTTGCCAAAGAACTTATCACCCCCAAAATTATTTTTGTGTCAACAGAAAGGAAAATGTTAGTGTGTCTTTTGCTTGACAAGAGCTGGCTATATATGGGAGCAGGATGGGGAAAAAAAACATTTCCGAGGAAAAAACCTTCCATTTCTCATCACTTACCGTAACCCGACACCTTCATTACCTCAGTGCCATTACTCTGTTCAGCTTATTTGGTTCATTTGAACTTCTCCAGATCCTCCACAGCTGTTTGTATTGATTATAAGGAGCAAGTGAAACACTGTGGTTTAACAAGCTGCGGGATGGACATAATCATATATCCAGAAGGGGTTCTCTAAACATCAGCCTTGTTTCTCTCTGTTTTTAGATAGAGAACAGCTGTATTTAAGGCTTTACATTAGCATTAAATCTGAAACTCTCCCCCTTTTTTTCTGCCGCCTAAAGTAGACATATAAAGGTACAATGTAAGATACACACCAGTATATGTGAAGTCTTTATTCACATATATCTATCTATCTAATTTATTATCTATATATTAGATATGAGAAATGAATGTAACTTAAGAGAATGAAATTATTCGATAAGGGAGGATGTGATGCAGCCTTAAAAAAATCATGTGACCTGCTTTTTGTTTTCATTTGTGAGCTATTAAGGTTTCATACTAGTTTCATGATTATTAGGACAGTTTGATGAGATGTGTGAGGCGGTGTTTTCATGGGGCAATCATTCCTTGGTGTTATTATTAATATAACATTATGAATTATACTGCACAGCCCCGGCTGTAACTGCACAGAATGAACTCCACCAGCTCTCTTATACTTTGACACTGAATGTTTTTAGCATAAAGACTTTCAAGGAAAACAAACATTTCACTTAGTTTTTAAGGACCTCACTGCAAAGAAATGTGGAGACAGTCGTAGTGGAGTTGGAGCGTGCAGCATCACATCTGGTGATACTGCAGGCTCTAAAATTTCTAAAATTATTTTCAAAACAGAACATGTCTTGTTTCTAAAATTATTTTCAGAACAGACCATTTTTTGTTGCCCTGATTTTTTTTTATTGATTTATCTTTAATGCCCTTGTAAAGTAATTTTGTTTTTGAGACTAAATTAGAGTGAGTAGCCTTCAATAAAATAAGCAACGAAACATTAAATACGGGCTCCGTATTGGATTAATCTGAAAATGAATAGTTGAATTGAAATTGTTTTAAAAGATCATGTTTAAAAAAGATTCATTCCATCAATTCAAGAGAACTAAATTAAAAGACAACATGTTTCTTCTTTTTTTTTTTAAATGGACCATTTTTTATCAATTATTTTAAAGACTTCAGAGGCTAAACCTAAAGTTAAACAACTGCTCTACATTTGAATTCTATTTTATTTTATTTTTTTAAAAAGCAAGATAAAAAAAGGAGATGCTCTAGATGATGACACTTCCAAAAGGCCGGTTGCTGTAACGCCATACGGTTGAGCAGACAATCTCAACATATTACGCCCAAAGGAGAACTGATCTTAGTGCTTATGACCCTCTAAAGACTTCAAGTTTTTTTACTGCGTCTCCGAAGAGCAAAAGTCGTACTCTTCAGTGAGCACAAGCAGGTGAACGGTGGTTTAACTTTACCCAGTTAGCTGTGGGGCTGCGGTCACGAATGTAATGCTATTAAACTGTGAACGCAGAGAGGCGGTGACTTGGAGGAAGATTTTTTTTTAAACAGCGAAGAACAAGCTGAGAAAGAAACAGGAGAGTATGAGTGAGAAAGATTGAGAGGAGGAGGAGGAGGAGGAGGAGGAGGAAAGAGGGGGAGAGATAAAGAGATACCAACAGAGGAATAAAAGGAGAGCCAGGAGCTTATGCGGTGAAAAGAGCACATTATGGACGGCCTGCTGCGGCAGTAGTGTGAGGGAACAGTGAATAACTGCCTTCATTTAGGCCAGTGTCCTGGTGGTGTGGAGCCGGACACACACATACACAGAGAAACACTAAAACACATAGGCAGAAAAAAGCATGCTGTCTTGGGCAAATTGATACCTGACACACACGCGCGCACACACACACACGCACACACATGCACCCACAAATGTCCCTCTCTTTCACACATTTCTCCACATTGGACGGATTAGGAACACTTTCTCTTGGGTGTGCGAGGGTGCCACACACACAAAGAAACACTTGGGGACAGGATTAGTAGGCTTACAGCGGATTCACATATGTCCAGTTCAAGCAATTGGTATTCAAAGCTTTACACTTTCAAATGCCACCAAGAGAGAGCAAAGCCGACCAGCGCTTTTCTTTGCATTGGCAGCACCTTTATGAGGAGGGCTCTTTTGCTGGGCCAACAATGAGGCCGTGAATACACATTTTCACTGTTCTACCAGGGGGATCTCATTGGGGAGGGATGGAGTGCCGAGCCGAGGCAGACTTTATTATCCATGTTTGAAGTGCTGGGTGGGTGGGTGCAGGCGGACAGAGAGATGGACAGACAGACAGACAGAGAGACGGGCAGACAGACAGATGGGATGCTGAGGTGATGGTCAGATGAAGAGGAGTTCAGTTGCTTCCACGTGTTATTGTTGGTGGGCCATTCCTCCACTCCACCTCCACAAAACAGATCTGCTTTAGACCCTTCAGAGTGGAAAGAGGCTCTTAGCAGCTCAATATAGACAATACTGAGTCAATTTAGGCCATTCTTACAATATTTTTAACCAGCGAAAGGTCTCACTGCTCACTTCGACGATGTCTATTAAAACTTTTTCTTGCACTGAATAGGCTAATGTGTCTCTAAATGCATTTAGAATTTCAGTATTTCTCTTTTAACTCAGAAAACGTAAAAAAAAATTCTAAAATTTAGAATTGTTTTTGTGTGCTTCCAGTTTTTTTTAATCAAAATTTAGCTAAAGAATTAGTGACAGTTTTTTTCACTAACAGAAAAAATATTTTGAAAATGAACCATATGTGTGGATATAAGATATGTGACAATTTTTAACTGTTTATATGTGATATGTAAATAATTTTTCTTAGTAAGCAGGTTAAATTATATTTCAAATCTACAATAACAACATAAACAACAACAACAACAATAATAATGATATTATTATTATTATTATATCATCATTATTATTATTATTATTATTATTATTATTATTATTATTATTATTATTATTATTATTATTATTATTATTATTATTATTATTATTAAGTCCAACATATGACTACAGTCATTCTCATGCTATAAGTAGCTCAGAGAAAAACCTTTCCTGTCCCAGGACACTAATCAATGGATCACATCGTGTCACTTTCACGGACTTGTGTGGGACTGTTGCGTATCGTGGCAAACTCTGCTGCCCACATGCTGCCATATGGCGAGCAGAGTGTGGAGCCTCTGAGCGGGAGCTTTCCCTCCGTCCCTGCGGAGGCCCTGCTGCACCCCTCAATTGGGGAGCAGCTTCCCTTCTGCCGCTTCGTTTCTCGCACAAACCTCGGCATCTCGGCACAGACCGTGCACCTTTGGTCCAACCAAAATGTGAGAGCGAAACCGGGCTTTGTATAAGAGGGCTAGGCGACGTTCTCTCTCATCTCGGTGCATTTTTTTATTCACTTTTCGCGACTTGTTCACGGACACTTTGTGCGTAAAATCCAGCCACAGGTGACTGAAACAGAACATTCTGCTTCTGTAGGTTTTGAGAAAGCAGGTTATTTTCGAAAATGATCACGAATTGTGACACTTCTATATCTAGTTTGTCCAAGAGGAGAGGAGAGGGGAGCTTTGACCCCCAACGGTGTCCTGACAATGGCAGTGAATGGTTGCGCACCGCGGTCACCGGGACAGTCAAAGCACGCCGCCCCTTTCTCGCGGGCACGTCATCCTTTCTAACTAGGCGTTATGAATAGGAAAGCCGCTTTTGTCTGTCCCCGCGTATAAATAGGCTCTATCAGTGTCCTCCTCACCGCAGAGTCACGCAGACACTCACGGAGAAAGTAGGCAGCCTCAGAAGCGGAGCGAGCACCGGTTGTGTGAGGGACAGCAGAGCGGGGACAGGAAGCATCCCGGCGGCATCAGGTGACCGGGGCGACCAGAGGCTCCAGAAGAACTCCAGAGAACTAACAGAGGGGAGGGAGAGGACAGAGAAAAAAGTAGAGAGGGAGGAAGCCAGCAGCGACCTCCTACCCGACAACCTCGGAAGCAACAAAAAAAAAAACAACAACCATAAAATGAATTCAGACTCGAGCCCCAGCAGCAGAGCTTCTTCCCCGGACATGGACGGCATGTATCTCCGAGACCACCACCCGCTCCATCACCACCACCACCACCACCACCACGTCGGCTCGTCTGTGTCCTCCTCCACGCAGAGCGAGCTGCAGAAGATGAGCGAGCACCTGCGCTCCGGCGACGGCAAGCCCGCGTCCGTGGGCAGCAGCAGCAGCAGCAGCAGCAGCAAGTACAAACTCAAGAAGCAGGTCACCGAGGAGGAGATGTACCAGCTCCGCCTGAAGATCAACGGCCGCGAGCGGAAGCGCATGCACGACCTCAACCTGGCCATGGACGGCCTGCGCGAGGTGATGCCCTACGCGCACGGACCCTCGGTGCGGAAGCTGTCCAAGATCGCCACGCTGCTGCTGGCCAGGAACTACATCCTGATGCTGACCAGCTCCCTGGACGAGATGAAGCGGCTGGTGGGGGAGATTTACGGAGGCCAGCACTCGGCCTTCCACTGCGGCCCCGTGGCGCACGGCCCCGGCGCGGGCGGACACTCCGGCGGCCCCTCCGCGGCCGCGGCCGCAGCCGCAGCGGCCGCAGCGGCCGCCGCCGCGCACCAGGTGCACCCGCTGCTCGGGGGCGCGCTGTCCTCCTCCACGTCGTCCACCCTGTCCAGCGCGCTTCCGGGTCTGACGTCCCTCCGGGCGCCGCACGCCCTGATGAAGGGCTCCCCGGCCGCACCCCCGGCCCTGCAGCTGGGCTCCGGCTTCCAGCACTGGGCCGGGCTGCCGTGCCCCTGCAGCATCTGCCAGGTGCCCCCTCCACCGCACATCCCCATCACCTCCACCGGCCTCACGAGACTCACGGGCGAGGGAAAGGACGGGCTGAAATGATGATGCCCGGCAGACGGACTCAGACGTCTGAGGCTTGTACATAGAGAGAATTCAGGGCATGAGGGGGAATCGGCCTCACGCTTGCATGTTGTTGTCGAGTCTGTTTTCTTGTTAAACGTATGAGAAAAGATACTTTCCGCCTTGTAACAAGGACTTTTGTAAAGACTGCTAATTTTGCCAGTTGAAGGTAAAAAATAAAAAATAAAAAGTTGTGTCATGCAACAAGATGCCATTTTCCTTCCGCGTTCGACTGAATTTGTTTCACACTTGTGGAAGAAAAAAAGAGGCCGCATGAACTTTTTTTTTCTATCATCAGGCGTCATTTTTGTGGAAACGAAGAATGCTCTCTGTGCCTTGTAACAAGGATTTAAAACTTATGTGAAAACAGTAACATGTATGGGTTCGGTTGGGGCGTCACTGCCACGGCCTCAATTTACTTCCAAATCTGAGTTTATGGATTTATTTTGTGGCTCGTTACTTGTCAGTTTGTGCTTTGATTTCCTTTTGTTTTCCTGCATGACGGTGTTGATGATCACGGCATGATTGTTTTTGCTGAACCGAATTTACCAAGAGACTCAGTCTCTTTATTTTTGTACATTGTCGATGACTGATAAAATATTTATTATTGCCCAGTTTCCCTGGATGACTTTCAATAAAACTGGGATCATACATCAACAAGATTGTCTTCGTCTTATGTTTTGATATGCACCTCCATCAAATAAAAAAAACACATTTAAACTGCTGTCACACTCAACTTTGTTCTAGTTCCTAAATATTTTAGAGCAGAGATTTTCCTATTCATTCTGATTACTTTAACCTTCTTCCTTACGGATTTACGGGTTTAGTTATATTATATATATATATATATATGTATATTACAATTTCAAATATGTATTACTTAAATCTACACATTTTAAGTGAGAATCTTTCAAGGCTCCAAGTTATATGGAGGCCTTAGAAACAAGAGGTATTAATCTCGACATAATTTTCATTTACTATGGTCATTCAATTTGGGGAAAACGTGTAGTCATTTAACCGAAATACCAGTCAGAAGGAGTTTTCTGAACAGGCTTTCCCACAAAAAAAACGGAATAACCTTAGCTGAGAATGAAACTATTTTTGTAGATTAAATATTCTTTACATTTTTTATTATCTGGAAATTAGCTGTTGGGCCTTGTTTGTATTGTTTGTTTGGTTACTAAATCTTAAACTCGAGCCTAAAAGTTTCAGACATTTGACATCAGAACAGATTCCTCCCCAAATTCGGACCCACTCGCCTCAGGTTGTGCAACTCTCAGAGTTTATTTGGAGGGCTCAAAATGTTTTCTTTTTAAACCCTTTTTCACCTTTTTTTTTTTTTAAAAAGGGAGGGGGGCAAAGAGGGATGTCGTGCCGGTGCGGGCTGCTGCACCCAATCGGAGCCCTGCTGAATTCATCCCCACAGCGGCGAGAAGGCGCTCCGCCTCGGGGAGCGCAGAGCAGTTTGTCCGGCGGGTCCCATGGGTGTTCCCCCGTCTCATCTCCGCAGCGACAGAATGGATGTTTGTGGAGATTACAAGTTAATTGTTCACGGGGGACCAAGAGGAGAAAACCACATCAGAGAAAGGCGTCGGGATTACAGGCTGCTAAATGTAGAAGATTATACATTCAGACCCCCCACCCCCACCCCCCCTCCTCGGCCTCCCCGCATGCAAATGAGTGTGTGGATTGAGAGAAAAAAGAAAGGGAACTATGAGAAAAGGAGAAGACGGCCTTTTGTAACTTTTTTTTATGGAGGGAAGAAAACACAAGTTCCGTGTCTAAGTTGAGAAAAAGTGAAAGAGTTCGTTTTTTTTTCTTTTATCTTTAGGAATGAGGGGAGCCTGTCTGTCCCTCGCAGGCTGCCAGATGGGATGTAAATAGCCGGGTAGCCGCAATGGCCTTTTAACCACACAACACTGAGAAGGATGTTGTCAAGGGAAGCTGGCGGTTTGCGAGTTAATAGTCATGAGTTGGGGTAATTACTTAAGGTTTATTATGCTCTGGTTTCAAAGGAAATGGACTCTTCAATGGGCTGAGAAATACTTCTTAATTCTGGCTAATTAGGAGCTGCGTAAAGCGGAGACTGCTGCTGCCTTCAAGCGCTGCTCCAGCCAGAGAGGGGGACCGTTTGTGAGTAAACCACAAAACGATGCCCAAAATTAATCATGCACGTGTAAATAAACGGCAGGCGCAAGACAAATGCAAATCCTGCTCTGTGCTATAAAAAAAAGAAAGAAGAAAAAGACGAATGCAAATCAGTGTTGTTTTCATTTCAGAAGTTGAAATGTTGCTTATGGCTGGGCCTCATGGGCCTGAAATGTCAGATTGTTCTGCAACTCTGCTTTGTGCCAAAGTGACTGTTCACATGCAAATAAGGCGTGGATTCTAAATCTGGGAGCATTTGCAGGGGATTAACATCTCAGAATGATTTGAAATATATACGTGGAGCAATTTGACTTTTACTCCGCTTTCTTCGTAATGGAGCAAATCCCTCTGAGATTGAAGTTTTTCTCCATTAGGGCTTACCCAAGACACCAAGCTGATGGAGACTTTATGATAATAAGCAGATTATGCAAAAGATTACCTGAACGCAAAATATGGAAATGAATCAGAAAGTTTCGGCAGAAAAATGTAAAAATCCAAAGATATTTGGATGTTTATCGAAAGTTATTTGAGCAACTCTTCAGTGTTAATTTAGAAACTCTCATTTCCCTTCTGTTTTAAACAGCCACTAATAAACTCACAATGTTAAAGATCACACATGAACACATTTTGTGTGTATGTACCCATTTGTATACACACACACAAACACACACACATACAGTATACCTGAAAGCAAAAGTAAACGGTTTTCAGTGACTGTGAATGAAGATGACAGAGAAAAAAGCCTGCTTGCTAGTTAGTGATGACTGAGTGGACTTGTGACCATCGGCTCCTCTTTTCATGAGGCTTGACAAATGGCCGGTCCTTTGCAGAGCGCACACCTGTTACCGCGGGCCACGAGAGCTCCGTCACTTAGAGCAACGCTGCTTTGTTCGGCCTCTCCTCAGACACACACACATACGCGCACACATCCACACACTCTTGGACACGGATGCTAACGAGCCAACAAACGCTGTCAGTCTTGCTCGGTGAACAAGCCGCTTCCTTCCAAAAGCCTCCAAACAAGCAAAACTGGTCGAATTCAAAACCCACCGACAGCTGCAGCTGCATACAAGCCCCATTATAGTTATGAGTATCAACACAGTCTGAGATAATAAAAAAAAAGGGAGAACCTTTTCAGTCAGAAATGCACAAACAGAGGGGCCGGTTAAAGCTTGTACATCTCCAGCATTTGGCAACCTCACGCTGTTGTTGCGCTCCCTCTCAGGGCCTGTAGCCTGTGTGGAAAGCGCGTGAATGTGAAGTGGTTGCCGGTTTGTTCACCCCCTCGGTCAGCCGGCCGCTGCAGGCCCCGGCGCCTGAGGGCAGCAATTGAAAATAAATTTCCGTTGAATAAGGGGCAGCGGCTGAATCGGCCGAGACGCTGCTAGAACAAAAGCAGTTTGAGGGGATAAGTTATTGACCGGGCTGACAGGCTGAACGAGGCTGATTATGACCGCCTGCTCCGGCTCTGTGTGTCTGCGTGTGTGTGTGTGTGTGTGTGTGTGTGTGTGTGTGTGTGTGTGTGTCAAACTGAGGCAGGTGCAAAGGCCAAGCGCCTCCACGGGTCTGTACCTCTCCATCCCTCTCAGCCCTCGGGGCCGGCTGGCTGTGCTCAGCTGACTCCATGGAATAATGTTAGGCCATACTGCCAAAACAGAAAGCATATTTCCATCATGAGCGTAGGCTGCCATCGCCATCAGCGGCCGGGGCTCATTAGCATGTTAATTGTGTGGTTAGAGAGGTGGTGCCGACACCTCCTTTTGTCCATGCGGGGTCGCGGGAAGTGAGAGGATGGGGCTAAAGAACCACGTCCATGTGTGTTATTGTTTCAGGCGGGTTGTGTCATCTGTTATCTGGACACGTTGGGGCGCAGCCGAAAATGGATCGAGTTTTTATTACATGGACACTGGGTTGTGTTTTAAGTACTTTATTAGCTAAAATCATTTTCTTCATTTAGAAATGTGTCCTCATTTGGTGTAAAATGATCTCGGCAATAATCCGACTTCTCCTCATAAGCGAAGAATTTCCTATCTGTACGTACACAGAACAGATAAGTCCACGGAGGTTTCCATCTTGTTCCGCCATTTTGAAAAACTATAATCGCAGCGAGGAACATAAAGCGCTAGTCTGCCTGTCTAGCTAATCCACAACGCGTTTTCGTTCAGAGGCAGAGTCACGTGACAGAAACTTTGCTATCTTGTTGGAGTAGTAATTACATGCTCACGCTAACGATTCAATGCAGTTTGTCATTTCTTTCAAATTACAAACCTCATCAGCCCAGAGAAAACTTCATGATGAAAGTCATGTTGTCATTACTTCTTGATGCACGCTGTCTACCGTAGCTGCAATATTGATTTGAAAACGCGAGGCACCAGAGAGCACGATTTGTTAGAAAGCAAAACACAATTTCATCGTTAGATGGGAGCAATTGTGTAGTTTTAACACCGAAGGACTCGAGCAAACACAGTCAAAAGTCTTAGAATCAAATCAAAATATAAATAATGTAGCGCACATATGATGACACTGGGCTTAACGTAGCTGTTATGTTTGTGACATCTTAATTCTGAAGCCAAAGCCGTTGCTTGCCAGTGCCAAGGTCAGTGGTTAGAATCCTGGGTTTTCCTTTTCCATATTGGTTTGACGTGGACCAAAAACTGTCTTGTGTGAGATGTGGAGAAGAATATAAACTTTACGAACACCTGACTTTTCTTCTCCGAACGCTGAAACCCGGCACCGTGCAGCTTTGTGCTTCTTTGTTTTAAAAACCTGCCAAGGGATCTTTTTGGTTTACATGTTTAATGTCTTATTTAGCAAAAAATTGTCGTCAATTTGAA